TTTTTCCAGGTGCCAACAATCATTCATCATGGTGTAGATGATCTGTGGGCAACCGGCTGGCTTCAAGAGCCGCTTGCCCTTACGAAGGAAAGTCTCTATCTCCTGGATGGAAGCATTTTCACCCGCTTCATTTTTGTACCTAATACAAAAAGAACAAATGAGAATATGATCCAGTTTGTTTACATGCAAAGGCTTTCCATAGTAGCCATCTTTCAAGGCAGTTCTCTTGTTCCACAGTGACACCTTCTTTGTACATATTAAACCCTGTAGGACAAAAGCACTGGCCTGCAAGATGGCAGCCATGCAAACCCTCTATTAGTGTTTTGACATGCATGATTGCAGTATAATTATATATTATTGCCAATGTAGAAACATGAGGGATAGTATAAAACTTCATGAATATAAGAATACCAAAAAAGATAAAGAGAACAAGGTGCTTGTATTAACAGTGACTGGGCTTACTTAGGTCGTTCGCCGTAAGAGAACATTTCCCACAGAAGAACCCCGAAGCTCCACACATCACTCATGCTGCTGAACTTACCATGGCCCCAGATGCACTCAATGGCATACCTATGTAATAAAAAAAGAAAACGGGACCACACTCACTGAACGCAATCATGTTTCGGCCATCTTGAACTGAAAATGAGGCTACTTTTCCCAAGGGAAACCAGAGAATAAAAATATTACAGCAACAAAATAAAAGTTTATTACAAATTTGCACTAGTTTACGTTAAGAATGACTTAAATGACTTAAATACATGTATATATCTAACTATTCTTAACCACATTTTAAAAACCAAAAGGGAGGTTTGGAACTCCAAATAGTGAGACACCACCACATTTAACTCACTTCACTGAAAAGGACAGATTCAAGGAACAAGATCAAAAATTCTCTGTAAATAGGGTCTACCCGGTTTGTAAGCATTGTCATACATGTGCACCCACCACTAAATTGCAAGTCCCCATTAAACACAAAAATTGCCATTACTTTCCAGTTCCATGGTTCAATGTAACGCTATGTGCAGTGGGCGTGGTTCAAAAGAAAGCGGTATCACACTGCCACCCATATTGAATTGAGAGTGAGGCTTTTATTTTGGGAGCCACCCACAATGAATTGAAAGTGAGGTTACTGCGTTTTTATTGCAGGAACCAGCGAATAAATAAAAGTTTGTGTTATGCTGATGAATAATTTAAAGTTGTGATTAATTTATCTCTAAATAAGCAACATTCAAAACAAGCAGAAGTGATGCCTGCAACCCCAAATAGCCTGGCACCATCTCATTCAGCAGATTACACTGAATAAGATGGACTCTTGGAATAAAACCAAAACTGGTTTCCATGGAAATAAGGTCTACTGATATTTACTGTGTTGCACACAAAATGTTGCATACATATTTCACCAGTTGAATCCTGGATATCTTGCAACAAAATTGCAACTATGTGAATAGGCGTTGAAGCATCTACGCAAGGCAATTTTTCATACAAATCATCTTTTCTAAATGAGTTGTATTTTGAATTTTTGTTTTACTTTTTTAAAAGGTATATGACATGTTAGTGTCTTTTTGGTTTTTCTGCAGATGAGTATACCGATACTCTTGAGCAATACTGCGATGTCATCTCTCGAAAAACAAGTTTAAACGTTACATTGATTTGTGTACATAAACATACTGACATTCCTTCTATATTTCGCTGGCCTAAATGTCCTCCTTGTTGATGATTTGCTGCACATTAAAGTGCTCAACGATAGACCAGTGAGTGACTCTTTCTCCAAATGCTTTCAGTGAGCAGATTTTGGTTTCAAAACAAAAAAAACCTGTAAAACGAACAGACATCACAGCAACAATACCCCAAGTGGTCTTGGAAAAGCATGAATGATTTTAATATTTGAAGAAAGGTATATTGTTTACTATGCACGTATACTTCCCACAGCGATGTTAAAAAAATCTCAGGCACAGGAGAAGAGAATCATGTTGTGCAATGAATGTATGACAAAAAATCTATTGCTTGGATAAATTTGAGAAAGATACTGACATGAATACAGGAAGCTGTCTATCACGTCCAGATGTCTGATAGTAACCCTCGGTAGTGTACTTCCGGGCAAGGCCAAAATCACTAATCTTGACCTCCGGTTCTGTGTTAACGGACGCATCAGATGCCACGAGGACGTTACGCGCTGCCAGATCACGGTGCACTACGTTCCTTTCTCCTAAGTATGCCATGCCCTTCAAAACATCAAACAAGGGATCACAAACACAAATGTTACGTTCCTTGAAGCATCCCACCAAACCTCTCAGGGTTTCAGGCTCAAGAAAGAGTCCTGAGATGGACATTCAGAGACATTCAGTGCAACACACGTGACCTGCTCCGGGAAAAGGCGATGAAAGTTGTGGTGCTCTGCCTTTCTACACAGCGGCCCGTTCAAAGTTGAGAGGTTGAAACTTCTTGTGCAAATCCTTCTTTTTTGGTCAGAAAAAAACATCTTTGGTCAGGATTTGTGAACAAAAAATATCTGGAGGGAACATGTTGGTTGCTAAAAAGATTGAGGGTGACTGTTCTCATCCTATTTAGACTCAACTTTTTCAAAGTCTGTTTTCTCAGTTATGTTGAAGTTTGTAGAATTTGGAGAAATAGCAGATCAGTATCTCCAGAAGGGATGGTCTCTGCTGCTCTGTCATATACCAAGTATAAACTTACACAGGGGCTTTCCAGCCCTGTACATCAATCTTCCCCCGCCACCTTGGTTTTAAAAAAGAGACCTTTTTGCAGAGCAGGACACAAGTTTTGGGGAATGGTATGCGATGAAATCCGGGCAGTGAATTGAAATGCAATGTGCACAGACCGATTCTGCAAGCAACCCACAAAATGTGACCAAACAATACATGCATGCTCCACTTCAATGTCACACAGCATGTTTCAACCCTGTTCCCAATATTTTGGTCACACTGCGTGCGAATACAGTTTGGTACATGCTGGACGGGTTCCCTTCCATATATGATGGCTGGTACCCACCATTCATGAAAACAAAGTACAGGTATGACGGTTTTGAGGATGTATTATGTCAATCTTTGAGGGCCACCGCACACAAATCCATCAGGCTGTGGAACCAATGTTGTGCAAAAGTGGACATTAATATGCAAAAAGATGCCATGAAAAATTGAGATCTTTCTTTGAACGCGACGCACCAAGAAAACGAGGCGCAATTTATACAATCTCAGTTAACAAATATTGAAGCTTTCTGAAAATGAACAAATGAGGTTCAATTTCGGCCAGCCTTGGAACATTTTAACGAAAGAATTATCTCAGTTTTGGTCACATGACCTTGGCGGTGACTTCACATTCTCTCCAGGTGGAGGGTATCCCTTGGTCCAGGAACCAGACTAGCGTGTATGCATATTGGCATGTTAAGGTCGCGGCTACGATTGGCCTACGAATGGACTCGAGGTCACATGAACCACTTTACCTGCGCTACTTGCTGCGCAAAGGTCAGCATCGTTGCCAGGCTGACTACTTTGTTGCCAATCTTCTTCTGTTCTAGGAATTTATTGAGCGCTCCAAGGGGGAGATACTCCATAACGAGACGCAGAGGATTGCCCAGTCCGGCTAAGTATGTATAACAAATCAACACAACATATTGAGGAATATGAGCAGCAATTAAAGACAACTCACTGTAATCATGGCGCACGCTCGAGAGATTATTGCAGTTGACAATAAGTACAAAGGTTCAGGCTAATTCATTTCCATAATATCAAGTCAATGAATGAAATATAACACAAATCATACAGCAAACTAACTTGGAGATGGTGTAGGCAGTGCTATTAAACTTGACAATCGTTCAACAGTCAACACACTGTCCAATCCTTCAACAGTCAACACACTGTCCAATCCTTCAACAGTCAACACACTGTCCAATCCTTCAACAGTCAGCATGACTGTTAAATCCCCAACAGTCAACTCGATGGTCCAATACTTCCCACAATCCAAAGTCAGTCGGTCATTGGACAGTCAACATGGCTATCCAATGCTTCTAGTCACTATAACTGTCTAATCCTTCAACTGTCAACTTGACTGTCTAATCCTTCAACAATCGACATGACTATTCAATTCTTCAACAGTAAACATGATGGTTCAATCCGTCTCACAGTGATCAAAAGTCACTTCCAACAGTGATCAGGTAACTCAGTCATTGGGCAGTCAACATCTTTCCACAGTCAAAATAACTGTCCAATCCTTTCAGTCACATTGAATGTCCAACAGTCAACATGACGGTCCAATCCTTCCACAATCAAAAGTCATGTCAGTCATTGGACAGTCAAAAAGGCTAACCAGTCCGGTGACTGTCCAATCCTTCAACTTTCTACTTGACTACCTGTCTGATCTTTCAACAGTCATTTTTGACTGTCCAAACCTGCAACTGGCAACATGACCATCCAAACCTTCAGTAATTAAATCAAGACTAATCTTTTTAATAACAGGTTTCCCCCCCAACACCGACACATATTAAACACTGTATACTCGGTGCTTTTCAGAGAGCTTATGAAGAAATTCACAAGTTTCTTCAAGTGGGACTCGAAAATACAACCTCCTGCTTGTAAGTGCAGACGTCTTAACCACTTGACCACCAAGCTTGCCCAAGTTAGCTGGCTGGTCCTTGGCAGATTTAGCAGTGGGTACTGTGAACTATTTCAAGATGCACTTTTCTCCGGGGAGATGTTAAATTTAATTCCAGTTTTTGCTTTTACAACATCTCAGACTAAGGGCAAAAACCTCGCATTTAAAAATGACACCTCCCTGATGCAAGGGCAAAACCTGTAAATAAAGTTAACATCTCCCCAAAGCAAAGTGCATCTTGGAAAAGACTAGTCTTGGTAATAGTCAGAGACAGGCTTTGCTCATTGGTAAGAAGGTTTACTGGTACCCACCTTCCATGACCCCTAGCACCTTGACAATGTTCTTGTGGTTAAAGCTGGACAACTGTGCAATCTCCTTCTCAAATTGTTGCAGTTCTTGCTCATTGGCCCTGTTTTCTTTGATCTCCTTGATGGCCACAGGTAACTTGTTCATGGGCCCTCGGTTCCAGTGGCCGAAATACACGAACCCAAAGTTACCCTAAGAGAGAAAAAAGACACCCTCAAATATTCATCCCACGAAGTTACTCTAAAGATGTACAGTGATAAATGTGTCCCTTGTGGCTGTCAACAAAGAAAGCCTCAAGTATTTCTCCCTCAACAGAAAGGAAGGTGTAACTCGCTTGCTTCAGCTAATCCATACTCCAATTTTAAGAGAGGCCCATTTGGAGGGGTATACGAACAAATATGAACAAAGTCCAAAATGATAAACTGCCACAATATCAATCCGACCTGACTACCCACTGTTGTTAAAAAACGAGGCTTTACAACCAAATGTTACTGCTCTAAGCATGCTGATAATACATGACAAGAAACATATGATTTATGTCACAGCTTCGGCATGTGTGGCTGTGGAAAAAAGAGGGTTTGGTCCAGCTGGCTTGCACAGTGTAGTGGTCTAGTAGATAAGGGAAAGAATAAGTATTGAGGATGTCCCTCGTTTGAATCCTGGCGAATACATTTTTTAATATTTGTCTTTCATTTTTCTAGTCTGTTTCCTGTTAGAAAAGATCAATTTAGCAAGGTTATTTTACTTACCGCCTAAATTTGTAACGTTGAATTTTGTTTGTTTTTCTGCTGCATCAATGCATTGTCGACTGGAGTCCAATGCATCAGTGTGGCTCCCATTTTAAAATTATGCAATAATATATTACTGGCACAGTTTCACACAGTATTTTGCTTTCAAAGCCTCAGTTGGCAACAGCACCATACAGTGGAGGATAGTCAGATAGGGGTACTCTCGCGGCTCAGCTTTCCAGCCCTGTTTCTGTCCTCCCAAAATCTGCCAGTGTCTTAAATGGCCTGTCGACATGACCTTCCCGACTTGGCCAGCATTAGACACAGGACTCAGAAGATGCAAAGCCAAACAACAACTGGAAGCAGAGGCCACCAGCATGACAGAAACATTGTTCCTTTGTACAGATTATTCAAATGCCCAAAGCCGTGACTATTTCACCTCTTCACTTTGTAATTTCTTTGGTAACAAAATTACTGCTATTGTCAGCACTCACTGGGCCCACACTCATGACCTTCACAAGACCACACAAGACCAACACGAGACCTTCAGTCTGAGTTCAAGCCACAAGCTGTTCAAATGAACTGCAACAAAAGCATTCCTTTGTCACTATTCACCCTGTGACTTGTGCCTGTTCTAGTACCTGGTCTTGTACCTGGTCTTGTACCTGGTCTTGTTGTGATGACCTAGACTACAACACTGACTCATGGAACAGGTTGTTGTGATTTGTGTTGTCTTAAATGCACTGAGTATTGCACTCTGGTGAGGGACAGTCAGGTTAGCGTTGTGGCTCTTTTCTTGCCCTCTATCTCTGCAGCTCAAGTTCAAATTTCACCAGTCCCCACCTGCTTCTGTGGGTGTTACCTGAACATTTCTGAATAGTCTTCTTAATTAGCCAGATTGGTATTTAAAAAAGTCAAGGTCAATCAGGAACAAAGTGTTCGCATGAGTTGACCTACAGCTGCGCTGACAGGGAAGATTGGGCTGACTGTTCCCCCAATGACCTCAGTTTGGGCATGCACTGTTGGAATGCCAAACAGGATCAGTGTCACTTCATCCTGTAACTTAGCCAGAACTCGCTGTTGGATGAACAGAAATAAGTAAATGAAAACACGATTAAGTACATGTATATGCCACAGTGACCATGTACGGGTACTCACTTCCCCAATGGGCGGTCCTATTATCTCCAACGTTCCCATAGCAATCTTTTCAATTCCGCTGAACTTCATCAACCGACCGCTGCTTGGGTAGATGTCCGCCTGCAGAAGTCAAAGCAGTAGAAAAGGTGTGAAAACGTTTTTCCCTGTGTGAAAAGGTGTGAAAAATATTCTCCTACTTCAAAGAAATGGAATGAAAAAGTTTTCTCAAATATGCCAAAGGGTAAAAAAAATTTTTACCACTACTTGTTTTCACATTTTGTGGGATCACATACATGTATGAATTCCCCGGGAAGAGAAAAAGTGGAAAGATTTTCCATTCTAAAGTATAATTCTAATTGCAAGCTACTGCATATGACACTGAAAACATCAAAGTAAGAGTTTACCTGGTTGGAGCTTTGGCCTGGGTAAGTTGTCATCAAATCAATGTCAGCAAGGCCTGCAAAACCAGACGCTACAGGTAAGGAACAAACACACAAAACGTCATTGGTACAGAGACTATCAGTGCCTGTGAACAGATGAAGTTTCACCACTTTCTACGTATAGTCAATATAATCAATCACTGGAGTGGGGTTTCCCCCTTACCCGTCACTGGATAGTTTCAAACCTTCACTATAACCAATCACAGGTTTATGGTCTCTCTCCCATTTCACATTGCCAGGACTATCATATCAGTGCCGACGCACTGACCAAGTTTCAGAGCTTTGCCAATCACCAGATGCTGGTCCCTCCCAATCAACTCATTTACATCTGGATCTACGGTGGATTGATACAGTGAAAGACTGTTGCAGTATGAGCCTAGGATGAACCAAGAGAGGGCGCAATTTTCCTAGCAACAGGGGTACAAAATGAATACTCCCCATCAACCTAGCCCTTTTCAACCGATGCGGGGGTGCTTCTGCTCAAGGAAGATAGGCACACCAAAGAGAAAGAAAGCTAGAAGACTAGCAACACTGGTGAAAGTGGTTTTCAAGAGCAGCCTTGAAACTTGCCACTGGTGCAGAGGTTGCTGTCCACTGTTGTTTTAACAAAACCAGTGTTTCTGCACAGGTACATGTAGGTACGACAGCTTTCTACGTCAAAACATACACCAAGTATGATTTCAGACTTGCTTTCCACTGCATTTGTTGTCTCAAAGGAAGACAAAGACTTTGGCTTTTATCTGCTTTTTGGGGGGGTTTACAAGGTCTTACAAAATGTTTGGGAGGGTGGTGCTAGCTCCCGAACCACTTCGATGTAATTGTAGTTTGAGAGTTCTGTATGTAACCGTACGGTGCATTGCACTGGAAAGTCAACACCGTGAGTGGAACAAGGGAATTTTGTGGGAAGAATTCATTTTCAAATTCAAACTCATGTTTCTTGAGGCTTGAAAATTACTTCCATTTGAGCAAAAAAAGGTGCGGAAATTTCACTTGTGGGAAAATTTACGAAAAACCTTCCCCACTTTGAGAGAGGTTTCTCAAGGTTTCCGACACGAAAATGAATACCCGGGGAAGACGGAAAGTGTTGAAGGAGAACTTCCCGGTCCGAGGTTGACTTTCAACTGCAACATACTGCAGCCATTAATTGGTTCAGGTTTCTCAACATCTCGCCCACCTTGCCAGGAGATGTCCATCAGTTCCTCGTCGCTCCCCCCGCTCTGCTCCCCTTCCGAGAAGTCCTCCAGGATTGGTTCGGGCCCGTCTTCCTCATCGCCGAGCACCTCCCACTGCATGGCAGCCGCCTCATCTCCTTGTTGGATTTCTAATTGGGGCGACACACCATAAGGGGAGCTTGGTTGACTCACAACAGGGTACATGGACAATGGCATTTTACACAATCCTCAGTTGGGCAAGGAATTCCGGGACAGCTTCAGTCTGTTTCAATCATCTCATGGTACATGTGTTTTCACTCATTAAAGTATAAACAAAGACATGATGCTCAAACAATAACATGACCAATGGGAGAGTCTGAGAGAACAGTCCTAGTCATTTCCTAACTGCTCCAACAAAATTATTATTAACGCCATTTTTCAAAACATTTCATTACAATTTTCAGGAAGAAAAACACGTCAAAAGAAGCATATTTTGATTTTGATTTCATTTTTCATGTTCTTTGGGGCCTAAAGAGAACACAAATCTTACTACTTTACTCCTAGTGCCCGGTACATGTACATGTATCAACTCAGCTCAGGAGAATGGACGCGACTTATGCCCCTGCCTGTGGCTAAGGCATTAGTCATGTTAGTCGCGTCCATTTTCCTGAGCTGGTCTTAAAGGAACCAGGAAATGAA